CTCTCTCTCTCTCTCTCTCTCTCTCTGCTGCTGCTGCTTGTGCAACTCAGCCAGCGGGCAACCAAGAGAGAAGCTCCAACACCCTGCACCCACCCCCCTTAAGAGAGAGGGAGAGCACGCAACACCTACCTCCCCTTCCCAGCCTCCGTCGGCTTCATCTTTACGTCGATCACCATGAACCCGGTCGGCAAGATCCTCCCCGGTATCCCCGTCATGTCCCCCGACCCCAGCCCCCCCGACGCTGCGCTCCCGGGTCTCGCAAAGGTGGCGTCGCCTCAAGTGGTTGGTGGCGAGGAGAGATAATCACACAGCCGGGACAAAGGAGCCCAGTGCGTAATAACAGTCCGTGGGAAAAGAAAATGAAGGCGAATGGCTGAGCGAGGCAGAGTTCAGGCCGTCGTTTCTCGGCGTAGCCAGACACGCACCGAAGAACGTGATAACAAAACGACCCAAGATGCGCGGACTTCATAAGGTGGCAGCGACGAGCGTGCAGGGCAACACGGGCGTGCAAGGGCACTTGCACCGACATCGTATATCCCTCGTCGCGAAGCGGGGATGCAAGGGTACATTTCGAAGAAAGGGAAGGGATAACAAAACGGCGTGGTCGCACCTAAGATGGCACGCTGCACCCAGCCGATCCTCAGCCGATAAGGAGCAAACATGAAGTCAAGTCGTAGAACAACTCCTCACAGCGATCTTCAACACTCGATTACGCCGCAAGCAACTACACGGTGCAAGAACCGCCTGATACGTGCAAGGGAAGCACGCCTCTCGACAGAGACAGGCTTCCAGAATCGCCCTTTGCGGAAATTGAGAGCCTCTTGGTTACGGGGGCAATCAACACAAGATAAGATCATACATGAAAGTCGGTCCAAGAGTTGTGAGAAAGATCACTCGGACTATCACGGTGCCACTGTAGTCAAGCAGCAAGAGAGCCACCACGGACGAGGTAGGAATACATCATCCCAACCCTAAACCAAACATTAACCCCAAGCCTGCAACGATGAGGTAGGTATACATCACACATGGCGGATACGAAAAACGTAGGAGACTCTCCTCCATCCACCAACCTCCTCACCAGACTGGAAGTCAAGCTTGACGTCGAATCGCGCCAAAAAGTCCATCCCCAGGATGCCCGAAACACCCTTCTCCATCCCTTCGCTCCCCTTCCCCGTAATGTCGGTAATGGGAAGCTCCATCACCACCGGCTTAAGCTGTCCGAACGACTGGCCTGGAGAGGGGGGGTATCGAGAGCAGAGAGACATGCCTTCAGTTTGCCTGGAGTGAAACAACATGATGACGGCCTGCCTGGCGCTTGTAACCGATGTATACGCAAAAGAAGGCAGCAGTAGGAGAAACATGGCCCAGTCCCGCCGACACACGGACGACCTACGGTGCTCGCGACAGCTGAACAGTCAGACAAGCACACTTGATGTGCGCCATGGAGCAATTCATTCATCGATTACATAATCCCTTACAGAATCCCTTCTCGTTCCATCACCGAACCACGCTTTATTGAAAAAAAAGCAGTCCTCGACTTCGACGGTATGCACCGATACACTACTACACTACAGCAATACATCGTTTCGTGTGTTTGAAGGCAATGGGTATGGACATGTATCCTCAGGAAAAGCAGCCACTAACAAAGTAGCCCTTAACCACAACAACAACAGAGCAGCAGGCGGACAGAGCGTCCTCAACCATTCCGCCTGTCCTCGCTCACCCGCGACCTTGACTTCCCCAAGAGAAACCTGATACAGCCCGGACATGCCGTCCGTCCCCGCCGACCCCATGGCAGAAACGCCTGTTCTTATCGCACCTTGCGGTGAACGACAGATTCGTATCGCGCGAAAATCCGACAGGGGGTTAGGAAGAGAGCCAATAAGCAATAGCCGCGGGGAGTCTATAGTTGCCCAGTGAGTCACTCGAATCAAGGGCGTGAGGAAGATATAACAGGTACGCCGAACGCTGGTAAACGGATGTTCGTGAAGAGCAGCGACCGCAAAGAACAGGGATTCGGGGGGGAGGGGGGGCAGGCACACGACATGAGAGAGACCAGACACTGCGGAAGCAGCGATTACGTCAATCGAAAGAGGGTAAGAGGGGGAATCGGTTAGCAACAGGATCCTCCCGGACAACAACCGTACAAGCAGCACGTGATCGTAGCACACGAACTGCTCCTGCTTCTACATGCCAAGGGCAGACCCACCCAATCGCTGGCTAGCCTTGGGCGTGAGCAAAGAGCTAGTGGCCGCCGTGTCCAGCATGAACAGCTCGGTCGTCGGTCCCTTGGGAGCACCAGGCAGGCCGATCTCAATGCAGTAGTAGTCCTTCTGATCAACGGAGATTGCTTCTCCTAGCGCAGAATGGCTGGAAAGGGGTGTCGTGTGTTGTCCGAATGCCATCGATGAGTTTTCGTGGAAGGTCGGTCGACACCGAAACAAGCATGTACGAAAACGGAAAACGAGGAGTGGGTTGGGGTGAGACTGAACCTATGGCCTTCGCATGTCAGGGAAGCAGTACCAGCCTTGGCCGTATTCTTTGTCGCGAGAGGTGCAGGTGCGATTGCCAGTTGCAGACGCACTCAGGCTTGGTGATGTCATATTTCGGAAGGTCACAACAGTAGCAGTCTACCGCAACAAACGATGATTGCGTGCTCACATGCAGGTGTGCGAAACGCCAAAAACGGTGTTCATATGCATAGCAAGAACAATTCGCACATTAAGAAATACAACGTTAATCGCCTGCACCTGGAACGGTGCGGCTGAAAGGTGCGGTCTCGGCTGTGCCTCTGGAATGGAAGTACAAGGAGGCTTCATAAGAGCCATTGGGCCTTCGTAATGTTGCCTGGCAGCGTTGGGAGAACACCATACTTTCATGGTAGATGGGGCCTTGCATCTTAAAGAGTACTGTTAGGGGTGTCAAAGCGGCGGAATTTGGGGCTAAAAAAACGTCCGGTCCGTTCGGTAAAATTTGAGGGGGGTACGCGGATTTGTTTTCTTTTTGGTTCTTGAGAATCCCGCTGTTTAATACTGAAAAACTGTACATCAAGTCAATTTGTTTGTGCAGGCAGCTCTGCGTCCAGACAGCAGCATGGCTCTTCATGCGTTACATACACCTGGGCACAGGTCCCATAGAAGTGACTGCGAGCTCGGTTTTTACTTAAGTTTAAAGGGCGGACGAACAACACCAAAAAACATGGTTTTTTGGGCTCTTTGCACCACGCCCAAGGCGACCTTTGCTCCCCTCGTGAAAGCGAGCTTGCAGTCCTCTACCTTGGGTTTACACCTGTACAGCACAACAAACCGCGCCCGAATCGCGTCAGCCAACCCCGAGATCTGCATGTCCGAAAACGGCCACTCCAGTGGGGCTGCAGCGCCCACACCAGCAGACCCTCCCCAAAAAACAAAATCGAGGTCCGCGCCGTTCGGCAGCAAGAGGCGCGCTTATTTTTTGGCTCTTTGCTCCACGCCCAAGGCAACCTTTGCTCCTCTCGTGAAAGCGAGCTTGCAGTCCTCTACCTTGGGTTTACACCTATACAGCACAACAAACCGCGCCCGAATCGCGTCAGCCAACCCCGAGATCTGCATGTCCGAAAACGGCCCCTCCAGTGGGGCTGCAGCGCCCACACCAGCAGACCCTCCCCAAAAAAAAAAATCGAGGTCCGCGCCGTTCGGCAGCAAGAGGCGCGCTGCGCGAAAGCTGAATCAAAACAAAACGAAGTTTGAAGAGAGGACGGGGCAGTGTATGGTTGCCGCGTCAGCAAAAGATAACACGCGGCGCGCTATCGAACGCGGCAGCCTCACCGTCGTAGAGCGAACGCTGGAGGAAACGAAGGAGGAGTTGGTAAAAAGTAAGAAAATTGTGTAAGAAAGCCAGGCTCAACCTCGCTGCCGCCGCCGCCGCCGCCGCTGCTGCTGCTGCTGCTGTTTTTGTCAGCAGCAGCAGCAGCGGCAGCGGCAGGTGTCTGCGTGGCTTCACCGCCCGGCTGCTGCTCGGGTGTGTCATGAGGCATGTGTTCTAGAGTGGGACCGCGCAATGGTGTTGTGCTGTGCCCCATAGCAGGGCGCAAAGCAAACAGGCGAGCTGCGCACTCGCGCGTGTGCGTCAGAGGGTCTTTTCGGGAGGTTCCGACGGTTCCGTGCAATTTCATTGGTTGGTCGATTTTCCATAAGCAATATCCGAGGACGCTTTTTCGAATTTTTTTCCTATAGGAAATTTTCCGCTTTGACACCCCTAACTGTACGCCCGCCTGTTGCCGCAGACGTCGTCCGCCTAGAGAGTGGGTACTGTTACTTCGCCTCTGTCTCCCCCCGACACCGAGAACCAAAAACGGGTGTTCAGCACAAAGCCCCCGCCCGCGACTAGATGTTGTACTGTACAAGAAACCATCACAACGACCCTCGTGCCAAGAAACAAACGTTGCAAAGAGCGGCCAACCCTCACCTCGGGCGTATCCTAATCATGGGCACCACGGTTCCGTCCGCGGTGACCCTCGCCACCCGGTTCTCGAGCCCCCCCCCCCCCCCCCCCCCCCCCCCCCCCCCCCCCCCCCCCCCCCCCCCCCCCCCCCCCCCCCCCCCCCCCCCCCNGGGTGTCCACTCGGCGCCCCCTCCCTCGTACGACGCCCGCTTGTCTTGGGACGAGGGCGAGGGTGTTGGAGCTGGTGGGGGCGGCTGCTGCGTGTCGCCAAGACGGCGGATTTTCTCCGCTACGAGAAGCTGCACCAAGCCTTCTTTCTGGGGCGGTGTTGGGATGCCGTTGTTGTCGTTGGTTTTCGTTCGTGGTGCGTTGGGGATAGGGTTAGGGTTAGGGTTAGGGTTAGAGTTACGTGTTGATGGTTGTTGGACAGCATGGAGGTGTAGGATGGGCGGTGGCGGGGTGGATGAGACCTTCGAGAGCGATAGATCCAACACACCGAAGGTGAGGGTATTCGCATCAGTACTGGGGCAAGGGCTACAGTACAAAACACCAAAGGGATCCTACGTGTAGGTGCAAGGGAGTATTCGGCCCCACATACCGTACCGAACCGAACCGTACCGTACCGTACCGAAGGAACACACTTCGGCATTCGCGCCGTCAGGTGATGTAATTACGGTGCAAAATGTGAGAGGTAACATCATCTGATTATGAGTTTACAAATAATGTTGCATCGCCAAATTGAAGGAGCTCCTCGAGGAGAGTCTCGTTGTCCCGAAGCCCTTCTCCTTGAGGGACCCAAACGGTTCATGTGGAAGCATCAGAGAGAGGCGGCGTTGCAGGGAGACCATTCTGTCCAAGCTGTCGTCACTGTGCCGTTATGAAATGGTATATAGCGATTGCGCCGCTCTGCTACGGACGTACAATCACTGACGCTGTGGATTCATTGCCAATCTATCTTGGACTCGTTTCGATAGATGGAGATGGATTCATTTTGTCATGATAGTTTTTTTTTTAAGAGAAGTGGCCCAATAGGGACGCTTTTTGTTTGTAAAAAAAAAGCTGTTAAGAGGGGGGGGCAAAACGGGCCAAGGCTGTCCGTCTGTCTGACCAGCCATAAAATTGCCAGCAGACTCGGGCCCATTCACCAGGCCATGCTCTACGCTAACGACGCGGCCATCGTCTCGCGCTCGCCGGAGAGTCTCGAGAAGATTATGTCGGTCATCGTGCGCGTGGCCGGCCTGTTCGGACTGATGGTATCGGAGCCAAAGACGGAGATCATGTGCATGCTGCCGAAAGGGATCGAGGAACGCCCGTTCACGGTCAGCGCCGCCGGCCAGACGTACAAGCAGACAGATCGGTTTGTGTACCTCGGACGTACCATCTCCGCGGACGGGAAGGCCGACCGGGAGATCACGAGCCGCAGCTGCCGAGCGTGGAAGTGCTACCGCCGGAACAGTGCTTCGATGTACGACAGGCGACGGGCCNTATACTCCTTAATGTATGTCCTTTGTATTGCCTTCGGCCTCTGTGCTGTGTGTCTTTTTTTTTCATGACCTCCCTGCCTACTCTGCTGTGTTGGGTACTTTGAT